GAATTGTTACAAATAGAAAGGGTCTCATTCACCACCAATGCATTTGGCTTAGAATAGTTGTTTTCCTTCTCCTACCGAAAGCTCAACAGCCAATGGAAAGCCCTCACAGTAAAAATCTCTCCAGCTAGGCCCTTAGTGATATTAATTCCTGAGTCCCCTCGCCGCTGTTGTCAGGGCCTGAGGCGAGACCAAACACAACTGAGGTTTGCAAAAAAATATATTTTTAATATAATTTTAAAATATACTCACTAGGGGAAGGCTCATAAAATTCAGTTTCAGCCACAATCTGGACTATGGGCTGCCAAGCGCTGCATAAATAAATCATCGAGTCATTTTGGCATCCTGTGGGCCAGAAGGAATATCTTCCTCAGTAGATTTAAAGAGACATGGTTCAGAAAGACACGGGAGCAAGCGGGTGATTAAACAGGGGCTCTCTTGACAAAATTTGGAATTTGGAAGGGTCCTTGAAGTGGTAAATTGCACATTTTACCCAAGCAAGGCAGATTCTTTTTCTCTCTATTCGGAATCCACTATGGACTTGAAAGAATCTATTCTAATATTCTCAAATACGCCTTCCCACTTTGTACCTACCAGGACACTTGAAGAAGGGAAACTCCAGCACCTGGAAGGGTGGATCATCCGTGTGCTTGTAACCACGTAAGTGCACACCTAGATGAGTCAGAGATCACGCTCAGTGAGTGGAGGGTGAGCGAGGACAGTCAAGTTTACCGGCGATGCACAAGCTTGCAGGGATGCTGGCTAGTTAGCACTGATGGTCCAGGGTGAGCCTGCTCTCCCCTTCTCACACTCATACATTGGTGTGCACACATGCACACAGGCACAGAAGCACACACATACAACAGCTTTTTCCCTGGGTAGCTCTCTCCAGCTAGCCTGATGTACAGCCGGCCTTCATAAACTTGTTGGGATAAAGAATACTGAGTAAAGTGTCTGAGTCCTGTGATTTTAGACCCAGACCAGGAATCAGAATCCTTCCCCTGACCTCAAAAGAGGAAAGGAAAGCAGCTCCAAGGTTTGCAGAAAGCTGTTTCAGCTGTTCACTAAGAGGAGTGTGTGTAACAGTGAGTGAAGGCCAATGGGGGCAAAAAATTGTAGAATGTCTTCTTCCAACTGTTAATTACAGAGAGTGCTGGTGATGTGCAAGCACACACAAAATCCAATTGGTCTGGAGAGGAGCCACGAAACTTCATATGAGAGACACGCGTGGACTCAGACGCAAGCACAGACACGCCGGGCAGGCCCCTCTGCCCCTCACATTTCTCCATGTACACATGCATATGTGTGAAAGCACAGTAGTCCACCACCACACTGTTTTTTTTTTTTTTTTCTGAGATGGATCTTACTAGGCAGGCTGGGCTGTCCTCAAACTCATGATCCTTCTGCCTCAGCCTTCTACCTGCCATCTCTTCGCACGCTCCCTAAAAAGTTGCTTGCCTTTCATGTAACTGAACAAAAACATAGATTAGTGTTCGGATCCTTTTGTGTTTTATATTCACGAAAAGGCAGAAATGTGTCTGCCCCCTTCATGAATCTGCCTCCGCTAGCAGCTGGTGGATCCTGTTCGGAGGCCATTAGAGGTGTCAGCAGAAACAGGTATCCGGTCTTTCCATTCAATCCCATCATCAATCTAGTCTCTAGATTTTTTTTTTTCAGCTTTAGCTGTTGTCTGGCTTCCACTTAAAACCACCTTTTTAACCTATTTGTAAAGGTGCTGCTTCTTTCGTAACAACTCAAAAGTCAGTATAATGGTTACACACTGACAGATTCGGCAGTGATGGATTTCCTTCAGCACCTCGCATCTCGGCTCAAAACCTGCCCAAAGCTAGAAACAGTGGAATCGATTCCAGGCAGTTACAGGTTAAGGATCATTTGCATAAATTAGCAAGTTTTGCAGATGAATTCATCTAGTGAGAAGTAAGACACGGGACACTGCATTTTAATAATTGACATTCCACATGAAATGCAATGTTCTTAAGGGGGAAATGGAGCTCCAGGTTGCTATTAGAACCAGTGGACCAGCACGAGTGGGAAGAGATGCCGTCCCCCATGATGTGAGCTATGCTCCTGAATAACAAGTACCCCGTTCTGACGGGCTTCCTTTAATAACAGTGTGAGCCAAGCAGGCTGAGAGGGGCACCGAGGAGAATCTGCTCATCGGCGGGACGGCACAGGAAATGAAAACAGCCGCCTTCGCAAGCCAGTCCTCACGAGCTCCTTCTAAAATAATCTTCTATTTTCCATTTGACTTGGCAGGGGCCGTGCCCCACCCTCTACTCTTGCAGTTTCTCCAAACACTTTGGCGATTATTGAAATATATACAGAGTGCGAGCAAAAATTTTTAAATAGCCCAGCGTGGAGGTTGTCTCTCATAATGTTGGTTAAATTACAAATAAAGATAAGTGAGCCATTTTGCTGCCTCCTCCTGGCTTAATTTGCTTAAGAAACGCCATGTTGCTAACAGAACCAGGAGGGCCAGATGAATGCCTCTCCTAAGGTGTGTAAGCCTGTCGGTCAAAGTCAGAGTATCCAGCGTGTCGGGAGTACAAACTGCTCACACATGCAATTTGAGAGCTGGAAACAAGTCCATCTATAATGGTATTTCCTGGCATAATTTATAATTAACATAAAATGAATTAAATCACTCACTTGATAGACTTTTTTTCCCCCAAGTTCATGTAGAGTAAGTGTGTCATATCAATTAATTCTCAATGAACTGCAGCAGCCAATAAAATTTCTCTCAGACACTGGTCCAAGATATTGATGGAGGAGGTATGATCATTAATGTGAGTGTAAGGCTCATATTACACACAGAGAACAAGCAGGGAGAATGCCGTCCTCGGAACGGGAGCCAGATGACTCTTGTTGTCTCCAATTTGCTAAGTTTTCTCTCTCTCCTCCTGTTCACATTGGCACCCTTTTCATTTGGCTGCAGAACAAAATTGCCTGCTAGGACTGTCTATTTTGTGGGGTGTCTAACCAAGAAGCTAAAACTTGCAAGTTAAATAGATTTCAATAGCAAGAGCAGGTTCTATTGGCCCCGCCATTAACGCATTTTCAATGGCTTTTCTGTATGTTCACAGCCACAAATAATTGGTATATAAAAACCAATGCAAGCAGATCGCTGGCTTGCAGAATTCGAACTGAAATTTTGAAACAGGTCCTTGTTTGTGTTTCATCATCTTAACCAGTTGGTTTGGTATTATGCAGGCAAAGCCCAAATGGCCCACAGAACTTGGCTGATCATAAATGGTTTTATGACATAGAAACCAGTGGCCGTTGGACTTGTCACTTCTAAGGTGGTGTTAAATGACATTTCTCTTAGCTTCTCTCCACAGAGATGTTCATGTTTCTGTACACATTCTCCCTTCACTTAGAGGATGCTGGTTGATCCCCGGCATCGACACTTGTGAGAGTTGGAGAGGCATTCCTTTGTCTCGGCCTCCATCTGCGTGCTTACAGCAGTATGAAATAAAGGGATCCCGGCGAGCCAGTTGGTGTGTGCAATGAGTTGCCGTGGCTCCTCTCCCGATAAAGGGTGTGTTCAGATTGCTTATTTATAGACCAATAAAGAGAAAATTCCACTGTTCTCTTCAGCAAGCTGAGGATAAATAGCTCTTCCGTTTCTAACAGTTAATGTTCACAGATACAAAAACAACTGCTCTGAACAGTAAGCCAACGTTCCCCCCACCCCTACGGAGGGAGAAATCCTTCAATTCGAAACAATGGGAGGTTAGATATGATCAATCCCATTTTAGAACCGCTTCATGGCAACTTGCTCTCCTTAATGGAGAGGTGCTCTCGGCTTCATTGGCTGCAGGTGAAGCGTCCATTGTGTGCCTCCGTAATTTCTCTGTGGCTCCAGAGTTCGGCGCTCCATGGAAGGCAGCTCAGATCTCGCAGACGAAAAAGCCACAGTGCAAATGCCCTCTGCAGAGGCTGCGTCTGCTGCTGTGAGCTGTTCCTCCTGGTTTGCATGCAGCAAAGGCTTCCTATTTTCACATTCTAGAGCAAGGAAGAGCATAAATTATTCCTAATTCTTGATTCTATGATGAAGTAGCCATCTGGTCTGATAGTGCGGTGACAATGATATAGGAGTGAACACTCCATGCTTGGTCTACTGCACAGAAAAGGACAATAGGACATATTTTAAAATGTCAGGCGCCACCAAAACAATATTGGAGAAAGTTTGCATTCATGAAAACAGATAGTATTGAAGATATATCATGATGCAAATCTAATCATGGCTGTTGGATGGCTGAATTAAATTAAGGATAAATTGGAATGTTTCTAATTAAATATATGTTACTCTCCTTCCTGCTCCGTTTTCCTCATCTGTAAGAAGCGCCATTAGCACATTGCTTGGGGAAGGATGTGTTGCAAACGAGGTTGAAGCCTTTGCCTCAACACATGTGTGTTGAATTCTTAGTTATAGATATATGATGAGGTTAGATATTTCCAGACAGTAAAAAAAGAAATGGAACTAAACATTGTATTTGCATTTTTCTCCACAGAAGGTGTATATACCATCAGTGTGAAGGGTGTTAAGAAGTAACAAGCCCGTGGGATTAAGGTTCACAGGGCAATAAGAACTATGTTTATTTATGCATAGGGCTCAGAATTCAACTGAGGTTCCTCACGCATGCTGGGGAAGTGTCCTACCATTGAAGTACACCTCCAGACTCTGAAAGATCCCGTTCTAAAAATGGGCTCTCCTTTTAATATACTTGTAAATCACAAATTTATCCACAAACATTGAATGCTTTTAATGTACCAGACAGGGCGTCTGGCATCTGTGATAGTTCTTGGCTGTCAACTTGACTGGATGAAGAGATGTCCTACCCAGACTAGTAAATCCCAGAGGCAGCGTCTTCACCGCCATATTCTTGCACAGCTCCAGGGATTGACCTAACTGGGGCAATGAAGAGAGGGCAGACACATGGACAAAGCAAGGCTGAGATCAGGAGGTCTGGGCTCTCAGATGGAGAAGCAGCAGCACCCCAGTTCAGTGTGATTACTATAAACAGCTAAACGGGGAGGTAGGGTTGTTAGAGCTGAACGAGGAGGCCGGCTTGGCTAATCTCACTATGCCCAGTGTCTGTAAGGGAACACTCTCAAGGCTGGAAACCACCGGAGGAAAAAGCTCCTATGGACATTTTCAGCACATACTGTTAACGTCTGCACCTAGCCCTGAGGCAGGCCTTGCCATCCCTCTGAATCTCACCTGGGGAAAGCGCTGCCATTCCTATGGGTCTGAGGCACTGAGGTCCTTGACTTGGCTGTGCCCACACCAACAGCACACATTCCCTTGGGACGTCATTTACTTCCTACACTCCACCATGCTTTGGGAAGTCAGCCATACTGCCATCAGCATCGCAGGATTTTGCATGTGGCAACTGAGAGGTCAACAGAGGGAAGAGCCCTGTTCTGTGGGGGCTCTAGGTGCCAATGTAACTCACGAATGATGTATAGGAACAGAATCCAGAGTCTGGAAAACACTCAGCTGTGATTCAAGTAGTCAAAACCAGGAGATCTAGCTTACTCCGCAGGATAGGCCAGAGGGATCTGAAGGGTAAAGATTGCCTCCCAGTCTTAATAGATGACAAATTTAAATGGGGATTGATCCTTTTTTATTTTTATTTCTAGCAGATTTATAACATTATCCAGAATATCTCAGCACAATGTAGATGAGTCCCAGATATTCTAAGAAGTGAAAAGGCATATAATCAAAGGATAGTTATTGAATATCTGTTCTAGGCCACAAATGGCTCGGATTCACCATTCATAGAACTGCTGCATTATCTACCTATAGTTGGACCGCTGTTTTTTCCCAGTGAATGTGGACCCATCCCGTTTCCCAAGCATGAAAACTGGAAGTCACCCAATTCGCCTATAACCTTCCCACTCCCACCAGCAGGAGCTCAACTTCCTTGGACTCTATTGCCAAGTATTTGAGCTCAATCATCACATGGTCCAAGTCCCTAAAATCAGACTACATTATTACAATTGCTCTCCATTTGTTTCCAAGATGAAGATCTATTTCTCTGTCATTAAACAAACCCCACGATGGCGCTGTATTGGCTTTAGAGGACTATCTGGACAGTGTTCTCCCCAACTTCCTCTTCCAACACCCCAATTCTTAGCAGTCTTAAAGATTACAATCATAGCCAACAATTTGAGACCCCACCTTTACCTACCCAAAGGTAGCCTTCCGTTAGAATCTCCTTAGGTTTTTATTCCCCCATCTATCTTATAAACAGGATCTGTTGCTTCCCTCTTAGAAACTGAGCTGAAGAGAAACTAAGCACGTGGTATTCCCCAAAGATCTCCAGAAGCTTCTGCAAGAACTGAAGTGCTAATCAAAGTCCCAGTTCCTCCACATGGTCGGTGGCCCCAAGGGCTCTTTGAACAGGATCCTTGCTCCCTGGCTGTGGGCCAGCCTCCTGGTATCCCTTTTCCCAACACAAAGAAGAGGTTCGCTTAATAGTCTTATTCATTTTTGAGAAAAGCATTCTGATTCTATTGTCTTTGTGAACAATGCCTCTCATTCCTGGTTTCCTTCTGGAGGGCAGAGACTTGCGAATTCCTCAGAAGACTGAAAGAATCCCGGTGCCTGGCACCGTAAGCAAGCTCATTCAGGTGAAACCCCACTTCCTGCCTGAGTGGAATATGTCACATACCCTTCTCCTCTAAATAACGAAACAATGTCTTAACAAAAAAATCTTATTTTCACACAAGTCATCCGTAAAAGATTTGAAAGAGAGCATTATCTTGGCAAACAAAGCTCTGTTTTGCTTTTGGATGTGTAGGTAAGGATGAACCACAGATCACACAGTTGTAAATTAGTGCCTTTGATTCTACTTATATTTATACCGAATGAGGTGCATTTGCACCCACTTAGCAAACTGAAATTCCCTGAGACAGAGGCATTTGCTGTTCACTGAACATACAGGGGTTCCAAAGTTGGGGAGATGAGTGCAAGCAGAGGCGGTCAGGGGTCAGGGCCCAACACCCACCCTTGTCTCTCCTGCCGATACAAAGAGGAACATGCACTGAGATGTTGAACCTAAATGACTTAACTTGCCCGCACCTCTATGTCACAGCATGTGGGGCAGCTGCCCTAAAGGCTTAGCTAACTCACAATGGAACTACCATTATTAAAAGAAAACTAAGTCACCTGGATTTAGGATTTGGATTCTTACATCAAACTCCACACCGTGTCTACCTGTGTATTCTATTATCGTAGATTCTAACATAGAAGGAATGTGGAACTAGATTTTAAAATTGATGCAGCTATTTATATACGGAACCATCTCAAATAGTATCAGTTCTTTTTTTTTTTTTTTTTTTTTTTTTTTTTTGATTTTTCGAGACAGGGTTTCTCCGTAGCTTTTGGTTCCTGTCCTGGAACTAGCTCTTGTAGACCATGCTGGCATAGTATCAGTTCTTATAGAGATTCATTTCATCTTATCTGAGTACACTAAAGGCGTGAGGAATATTGGCAAGGAGGAAGAGAGCTTTCAATGCCTGCGTACTATCTAAGTTTGTGTGAACTTCTGTCATGGCAGATTAGAAGGCTGGGCTCACACCCAAGGTACATCCACTGCAGCAAATCATTCCAAGACCCAACAGAAGCCTTAACTGTAGGCTTTGTAAAATGAATCCTTAAATATCTCAATTCTATTTTAGAAAGTAGTCAAGGAAGACTTAGGATGCTGCTCTCTGACAGAATTGCCGGGGGTACATGTCTCTCCACTGCCGGGAAACAGACTCTGTACTGAGGAGATGGTTCTCCCTCTGTGGTAGACTGTACACTCTGTCTTCACACACTCCCCAGCAAATTCATGATCTTCAGAGAAGGATTGAATTGAAACACCTTAATTCTCCTTGCTGCTCAGTTATTAATCAGTCACAGACTTAGAAATCACTTGTCCCTCTCCTCCCCTACACACATCAGACTTCAATGACCGGATCAACTAGATAAAAATGGTTTCCAGACTATTCTTTGGCTTTTACTAAGGATAAACTTTTTCCTTACTCCGTCTAATTCTTGTTTTATTTGAGACAGTCTCCTATTGCATAGCCCAGGCTGTCTTGAAAATCATTCTGTAGCCCAGGCTGGCCTCTGTCTCACAACATTCCTCCTGCCTCAGTCTCCCCAGTACTGAGATTACAGGCCCGAGCCACCATAATAAACTCCTAAACACATCACCCAAATTGTATATAGTTCATGTATGCTGGCTAATAAGATAAAGGTGGAGTGGGGAAAGAAGACTTCATTAGGAGAATCTCAGCTGATAACTGTCAGTGCAATTAAATATTACATTTGGCTCCGGGTGTCCTAATGGTCAAGGAGAGAGGGGGAAACCTGGCGAGTTTTACGACTCTGTTTAAATGTTGGCAAGAACAATGTTAACAAAGAGAGTTATGGACTGTTTAGATTGTCAAATAACAGTTTGCGTTTTGAGGAGCATAGCATCTCGCCCCGTCAAACAAGTTCCCCCACAGAGTTTACCCCATCAAATGAAAGCAATTTATTGGTTGAGTGGAATTGTTTCATATCTTAAGTATTTTCTGAATGCTGCCGAGAAGGAAACAATGTCTGGGAAGCAGAGGGCTGGTTTAGCAGACCGGTGGTTTAGCTCTTCTTATCGCGGTGGCAGAAGGCTGCAAAGAAGCAGCCTTCAGTAGGAAGCCTTTATTTGCCTTTACTGATCTTGGTTCATGGTGAGGCAGAGTACCGTGAGGGTGGGGATGCGTGGAGGGTGCTGCATGTCTTAGTGCAAAGAAGACCACGGCACAGAGTGACCTCTTGAACTGCAGCCCCCTGCACTCCCGTCTGTCACACCCTAGCAACCTTCTTCCTCCAGCTAGGCCACACCCTTCCAAAATTACATCGCCAGCTGAGCACCAACCTGTCAAGTAGGAGCCTTTGTGGGGGAACACTTTATATCCAAGCCATAACAGCGGGATATCAGCCACTTTTCCTAATGACATTAAAAGACCACCACCACCCCCTTTTGGAGTCTTTTTATAATCTAAATCTTGTGTGGGAAGTCCTCTGTATATGTTTTTATTAGTTAATGAATAAAGAAGCTGCTTTCGGCCAATGGCTTAACAGAATATAGCCAGGCTGGAAAAGATATATAGAGAGAGTAGGTGGAGTCAGGGAGAAGCCATGTAGGGGCAGGAGACAGACGCCTCTGCCAGAGCCCGCTGAAATTTTGCCGGTAGGCCGTGAGCCTCGCGGTAAACAATAAAATAATGGAAATGGGTTAATTTACGATACAAGAGCTGGCTAGCAATACGTTTAAGTGTTTGGCCAAGCAGTGTTTTAATTAATACAGTTTTGTGTAATTATTTCGGGTCTGAGCAGCCGGGAACGAATGAGCAGCCTCCAACTACATAGGTCAATTAATCATTTGTCTTTGTGGGATGGGAGTTAGCTGATTCCACCTAGGAGTCATCGCAATGTGTCAGAATGGTTGTTGTAGTGGGAAACGTAGCTCACTCTGCTGTTAAAGAAACAGCCTCTGCCCAGGTGGATGACTAGACGCGAAAGTCTTCATGGACTGCACTGTTCCCTGCTGACAGCTTCGTTCTACTTTTCGTGGAGTTCTTTCAAGCAGATAACACGCTCCCTCAGAAGTCTTCTCATCCTTCTAGCTACATCAGCTTCTGTGGGCTTCATGGTAATATTTGCAAATCCAAGGCTCCGTTATTCAGTCGCCTAATCCCGGAGCCGACGGAGTCTATTTCAACACTGTGCTTGCTTGTACGTGATTAATGGTTGGGCCCAGCCTCAATGACAAGCACTGGAATGCTGAAGGCCACCCACAACGTGGTGTCTCCACTCCATTCTAAACTGGAGGCCCCCGCTTCACCACCGCCACTCCAGGTCTGCTGTGACCACAGCGGATCCGGTGCTGATTTTGACTGCTCCCGTTGTCCCCTGAAACGGAGGAGATAAGTCACACACCTTTGAACTTGGGTTGAGGCCAAGGTTCACTGTATCCAGCCCTGCAGAGATCACTGGTAGCAAGAGAATAATAGTTCCATGCTCGACCCCAAGACCCCAAGAGTAGGTTTACATATTTTGTCTGTGCCGGCTCACGGTGTGTATCGATCTGATTTGTTTCTCAGTTCTGTAAGATTAAAGAGAATCCCTGTGAGAATCTGCCTGGTAGAGTTACCAGGATCTGCACCCTTGTGTGTTCTCCCCTCTATGGCTTACTAGGGAGGGGATGTAAGAACAGAAGCCATGTTTGGGTTGTGTTCTGAGCAAAGGGCCTGAGACAGACTGATAGGCAGAGGGCTCATAGGTGGATGTGGTAGGAAGCAACACCTGTCTGGTACTGAGGAAGGAAGGGAGCCATAATGGAATCACAGCAGAAGTGTCCTATGGTCTTGTGGGTGTGGTCTTCAGCTGGGATGTCTTTTCAGGGATGTCCCTGAATTAGGACATCTACGCCAGAGAGTTGCGCTTTCTAATTATTTTTATTGTCCCGGCTTAGATGTAACAAGGACGTGCAACCCTGGGCAAGGCAGCTTCCATTTGGTCAAAGGCAAGAACCCAGGAGAATCACAGCTTTGAGTAACCAATAAATGATACTCCAAACAGCTTTGAGAACAGCACCTTGATCTAAGAGGCAGAATCGGGGTCACATACACCACGGCCTACTACACCTTTCTACCTGGTCCTTCGATCCCCTGCATTCATATAGACAATAAACTTAGCTTCAGGGATGCTAAGGAAAGTGGTACACTTAGTGGGTGACTCTGGATGCGGATCATCAAAGGGACTACTTAATAGGCTCACAACCATCCTTTAATGGTGGCCTTAGTTAAATGACACCAAGTGATTGTCGCAAGCTATTAGAGCAGCGTTCATAGGGTAGGGGCCATTATTGCTTACATGCCTTAGCAATAGTTAAGCTATCTGAAGCTACTAATTAGAATTTTTTCCAGTTTGGAGTGGAGTTTTGAGACTGGTTATCTTTTGGATCCGTAGATAGCCTTTTCCCTGCCCCCTAACTGTGCAAGAATGTGGCTTATTTGTAGTTGAGATTCAGAAAATGTTTCTGTCATAAAGTTCAGCCGTTTTTATTTTGAAGATAAAAGAAGAAATATGGAAACTAATAAACTCAAAAGCCTGTAAAAGTTCTTTTTTTATTTTCATAATTGAAAATTTTAAACCGAAATTATCTCGGCCCTGATGATCTTACTTTGAAAGACAAATCTCTAAATTTCCCTTGTCTTATTTACCGTAAATCTAGATGACCCAATAACATTTAAGCCGAAATGTGATCTACTTAAAAGTCCACATTTTCTTAATATTTTCTCTCATCCGTTTTTATGCTACCCAGGTAAGAGGATGATAGTGAATATTAAAATCCCACAGCCGTATTTGATGCTGATGCTGCATTTTTATGCTTTTATGATCTATCTTGAGCTGTTTGATTGAATGGCAGTCTGCTGTTCAATCAAAAGCCATGTGTTATTTCATATAAGTGAACTGTATTATAAAAGTGAATGTAAAATTAATTTCAGGATATATACGTTTAATTACATAGCCTCGTGTCACATAGCTGAATCAAATCATCCGTTGCCTCTTAATAGCTTTTAAAAGTTTGGAATTAATTTAAGCAATGAAGCCTGAGATATTTTTAAAGAGGCTTTCTCAGATCTTAAGTCAGTTCTTGAAGTTGAGTCTTTTGTGGGTTTTGTAATTTAGCCCCGCAGGCGGGGAAGTCAAAGAATATTACATTTGCCTAGAGCTGGCCAACCAATGGGCTAGGCAATTTCCATATATCACCTCATTCTAAAACCTAATAGAATTCCGTAAGGTAAGTTTAGTTACTCCTATTTTGCTGATGAATAACAAATCAAGAATAAATTATTTGGGAGCGAGGGACGTAACTCAGTCAGTGAAGTCCTGGCTGTTCAAGCCCATGTTTAAAAAAAGCAAAGGCAAGAAGAAGCAGGGCCTGGTGATGTGTGTTTGTAACTCAAGTTCTGGGGAGGCAGAGACCAAAGGATCCCTGGTCTTACTGGTCAGTCAGCCTATCCTAATTGTGAGTTCCAAGTCTAGTGAGAGACCCTGCCTTAAAAAATATGGTAGACAGCATCCAAGGAACGACACCTGGGGTAGACATTTTGGCTCATTCACATAACTAATGCTAAAAATACAGGGTGAGGGACAAAGTGCTTAATATACAGGAAGCAAAGGGAAGAGAGGTCACAAAAGTTTTACCAACTAGAGAAAAGACCTTGGCTAGTGCAAAGTTGACTGTTAGAGTGAGGGCTGGGGCTGGTATTTCAACAAAGACCCAAGACTGATAATGCAAGCGTATATTAAAATCTTCCCTTGAGGGTGCTGGAGAGATGATGGCTCAGCAGTTAAGATTCCACACTTTTCTACAGAGGATGCAGACTGAGTTCCCAACACCCATGTGGTGGCTCACAATTGCCTGTGACCCCAGTTCCTCTTTCAGCTGCCTTCTGGGGACTCCTCCATATACACGGTGCACACAAACTTAGACAGGCTCACATACATGCACATAAATTATAAAATCTATTTTTAAATCCCCACTTGATAAATATCTCATTGAAATTAAGCTTGTGATTCACTTGCCTCCTTAAATTTGATTTTCTGTAAATCTCCCCCCCCTTACTGAAATACAACTCATCCAGCTGTTCAACCCCGACGCAGAGTTGTCTTGTCCTTCTGTCTTTTCTGACTAGGTCCTGCGCTAGCCCTGCAGACCCTCTAGAGAAGATCTCAGCCTGCTGTGCCGTCTCCACTTGTAGCTTCTAGTCCCCATCATTCCTCTCTCTCATTAGCCCTTCCTCATCCTCCACAGAGCAAGTGAGGTCATTTGACTTCCTGGTGAACAACCACCTCTGTCTCACAGCTCTAGGAACAAAGCCCAGTGCCGTCCCTCTGGTTCTGAAAGCCTATTTCTGCCATTTACTCTCGCTTTCCCTTACAAAGTTCTGTCTGCTTAGATTTTACCAACCCAACTTGTCTTGCCTAGGGACCTTTGGAAGTGCGCATCTCTTATTCCAAAATGTTTTTGCCCCTTATCTTCACACGCGCAACGCCCTCTTTTCCCGGGGATCTCAGCTTAAATGGTATCACTTTACAGAAACCATCCTTGACCTTCTCATCCAAGCAGCCATTCAGTCTGCCATTGTGTCTTATTTCAATCCCTGCATAGTACCTTCCGGGTCGGATATTTCTTTTCTGTTTTCATTGGTATTGATCTGTCTTCTCCCCTTTAAAGGTTGGCTCCATGAAGCAGAAGCCTAGCTTGTTTGGTCCATAAAGAAGTATGAGATTAGGGGAAGACCGATGGAGCTTTATGCTTACTAGTGTGTCCTATTTCTGAAGCTGGGTGATATGTATATGGACACCATCCTACTCTTCTGTCTTATACAGGAATGCATGTTTGATGACAGAGATAGGTTCTAAGAAAGGCATCATTTGTTGATGTTGTCATTGTATGAGCATCCCAGAGTGCGTGTAAACTGAGGTGGGTATGCAGTCGCTAGGTGACAGACCTTTTGTAGGCACATACAATCTGACTGAAAAGAAATGTCATCGTGTGACATGTGTATGTGATATGGATCCCACTTTGGTGTAACTATGTTACACATAAAAAAATTAAAATTACATTATTTTTTTTCCTTTTGCTTTTTTTTTTTTTTTTTTTTTTTTTTAAACAGGGTTTCTCTGTATAGCCCTGACTCTCCTGGAACTCATTATGTAGGCCAAACTTGCCTTGAATTCACAGAGATCCACCTACCTCTGCCTCCTGAGCGCTGGGATTAAAGGCGTGCGCCAGCATACTCAGCTAAACTATTTCTTATAATCAAAATTTCCATGACCTACTTTATGGTTTCTGTAAATATTTTGTCTCGTTTGTAACCTAAGAGTTGCAGTGATTTGAACACTAATGTTTGTCTCCTTGGATGTTGTTAGAGGTTGAATTCTTCCCCCACTCCAGACACACGGCGGCTCTAGCCCCCAGCCTTTCAGAATGTAAGCTGTTCAGACTAGAGCCACCGCAGCTGTAAAGAGCTAAGACAGGGTTACGTGGGCCTCGGAGAAGTCTCTAACCCAATATGAATTGTGTCTTTGTACACACACAGTCATGTGAAGACAGCTATAAAGAGAAAGCCGTGTAAACACAAGATCAGAGGGAAGTGTTAGCACGCTAAGGCAACCTTAGCGCTACCAGAGGCTAAGGGCCAGGCACAGAGCAGAGCTGTTGTCAGCGGACCCAGAAGGAAGCAACCCTACCAACACCTTGAATTTTGCTGAACTTCTGGATTCCAGAAATAGGCGGAAGAAAGCATCTGCTGCTTTAAGTCACTTAGTTTGTAGGGCTCTGTATTCTCAGGCCTAGGGAAGTAGTAGCTGTATGTGCAAAGGTAATACATGCGGGTTAATGGCAGGGGGCCTTTCTGTGATTGAGGACTGAGACTAAAATGGAAGCAACAATGAAATTGAGTTCTTTTTCTGCAGGTTCCGAGAATGCGTATAGTATCGACGAGTCTTAGCCAATCCCCGAACTAAAGATGCTTTAGAATATACTGGAGAACACAAGAAAATGAAATAGCTCGTTTTCCCCAGGAATCTCATTGTGATCGGTTGAATCAATCACTGAGTCGCATTTATGGCTATTGTTCATAGCATGTCTGGTACCATTACAACCTCTCAGATCTTATTATCCTGGTAGATGTTGGTAGAATCAGATTTACATTGATTTCTAGAAGGCAGAATGTTTGAGAGCATTGATGTTTACCAAACAGAAGTGCCTGGGTTAAATCGTAAAGAGTTAAGAGTATTCTAACTCTTACAGGTGGCAAGCTGATAAAGGCGAATCTTATTTAAAAATAACTGAGTTTACGTTTCCCACAAATCTGACTCATCCCTGGAAACTCCCCTTTATACCAACTAGAGAAAAGGGAAGGGTCAAAGGAAGAACAGTACCGAATCTTTTAAGCTTGCTTGACAACAGAAAACATGGGTCTCTGTTATGTTTCTAATAATAATAAAAAAATAATTCAAAATGTCAGTGGGTGCTTGGGGTGCTATGATCCATCTTCTACTCTTTGCCATGGACATCGGTGCAAATATTCAGTGATGCTCCCACCCTCAAAGTCCTCCAGAAGGTAGAACATCACCCACCAGTGTTCATCGCTGCATAGTCTCAGCTATACGTGATGTACCTTGGCTTGGTCAAAAGACTTTGGGTGGGTGAACCCTTAAGCCAGTGACGACACACAGGCTCCGCTGTCAGGTATGAGTTCTGCTCCATCTGTGGCCGAATGAACCTCTTACTGAGGCTGGAGGACAAGTAGATAAGACTCCAGTGTTGGAGACAAACAAATAAACCTGAGTTTCACCTCTGGTTATTTTCCTTATTAGACACAAGCCTTTGAGTAAATTATTTAATTTTCTGGGTTTACGTTTCATTATTTGTAAGTGGCTATAACTGTGGCATACAGTTTTTTAGCAGTCTCGGAAAGTTCAAGTTGAGGCACTCTGGGAGGTAAAACCCGTATGACTTTTATTAGTGCTGCAGTTCCCTACCCTGTTCCCAGCCACAGTGATGGATACAATGTTGCTTGCAGCCTTGTCTTGGAGGCTCATTTGAGTCTCAGTGGCACCCACTGGACCCACAATTGTGCTGGCCTCCTCTGCCATCTGGTCTGACCTCTGCTATGTCTCTGTGAGCAGCTGGCCCTTCTCTATTAGTTTTTAGGCCCTCTCTCCTCGTTTCCGTCTCTTCTTGCTTCAAGGGTTAGTTGCTAGGGAGAGAATCAGGATGCAAGAAAGGCGTTTTTTCCAACAAAGCAGCTGCTCAGATGTGCAGTAACAGTGCATCTTCTGAAATCCCTGGGCTTCCTAGAATCTGAGGGAGATCCTGCAAGGGCCTCAGGGAGGGTGCGGAGCCACCAGGCACCAAAAGGCAGTCAACAAGAGACTAGAATATTGAGGGGCTTTATTTGGAAACAAGGTCTTTGCAGATGGCTGTATGCAAACTCAGAAGTATTTTATGAGGCTAGATCTGTGAGACCAGGATAACCCACTGACTTTAATCCCAGCCTCTTCCATGGTCATAGGAAGTTATCTTTCAACTTGTTCCTTTTCTTGTCTTGTCCAGTCTTTCATCTGGCCCTTGTCAAACAGTACAGTCTCTTGTGAAATGCTCCTTTTTTCTTGCAGAGAAGTCAGGGGGAGCCTACACACAGGAGATGTGAGGCAAGAATCTGTATTCATTTTCTGGGTTTGTTCTAACAAAATTGGTGGCTTGTCTCAAGACCATCAGTGTGAGATGGAACCTGTCTGGGAGGGCTCTTTCCTTGTCTTCCCCAGTTTTCTTAGTCCTGGACACACCTTTTTTTCCCAGAGGCCTCCTCTTGTACCACTCCATGGTACAAGGTAGACACACTATCTTCATCTGTCTGTCCGCATGTCTCCTTTTATTGGAAGAAGGCATCCTGATAACTTCATCCCAATTTGCTTACATCTGCAAAGGCCTTATTTCTAAATAAGGTAACATTCCTCAAAACTAAGGCTAAGGCACACACACACACACACACACACAATACATACAGAGATACACACAGGGACCACACACACACAAACATATACACAGAGACAACACACAAGACACACACACACACTACAGCACACCAGTAAACAGGCCTCACTCATTAGCAATCCACCTGCATCGGTCTCCCAAACATTGGGGTGACAGACATAAACCACTGGCACTGGCTTAGGATTTTGGCTTATTTTTTTTTGGGGGGGGGGTAAGGTTGCCCATGCCATTGCCCCATTTGGGGAGAAAACATGAGACCTGGTACCCTCAGGGTTAGAGGAATGCTTTATTCATACTCGGGGTTTACAATAAGTCACATCTAGGTCTCTTTCCGTCCCTCTCTCATTATCTCAGACTTGCAAAGCTAATCCAAGGACTTAACAGACACTGTATATACCTCGCTTGAGGTGTTGTTTTAATCCATGTTTTCGTCTTATCTGGCTTGTGTGTCTGTAGCCTGCAGCACAGGCCCTAAGGTTCGCAGAGACATCATTGCCCCTAATAAGCCTCAAAGTAATACTGAGAACCAGTGGGCAAGGCATTCGAGCAATCCCCAGATGTGTTTTCAACACTGTTATTGTTGTTTTAACATTGAATACACTTACCCAGGAAATCCAGGCTTCTTTCTGAAGTGTTCCAACTGTTGTGTTTACACCCGGTTGCCACACAACACTCGCTCCTACTGTGTTTTAGTTGGCAAGGGCTGGAGGAAGGGTTTCTGTAGCCAAGCAGCCTCAGATAGGGAATCTTTCCAGTCCCCGGAGACCTGGCACAGTCCCAGAATCAATAGTCACTACAATACAAGCCAACCCAGCCTCATCCAGCGCTTCAGCTAACCTTGGACCGAGCCCTGATTTAGACCCTAAACCCAGATAGGAAGGACCAGCTGAAAAAATACAGCCCACCCACAGTTACAGATAAATAAGTAAAAACTGCATATTTTTTCCATCAGGGAAAAGGGGGAAATCCTACAGAAAAAATATATTAAATTATGCATCCTCTTCCCCCAGCAAAACCTCAAATGCAGCCATGTTGCCAGCCTCCTGAATTAAAAATGAATAAACTCCTCCAGCATTTTACTATCGTTGCATATTACTTAGAACACAGAGTACAGAATTGTGTCGCCATCGAGGAGTGTTTTTCCTACATCTATAGATGCGTTGGAGACTATGAAATAGAAATATAAATTATTTAACTAGCAGGGTGTATATCTCACATCTTCCTCCATGCGATACATTATTCATTTGCTCTACTGACTTTGAGCATAACAGCTCTCTTCTGTGCCCTTGTAGTCTCAGGTATGGAAGTCAGACGCGCCTGTGCAGAGCCAAGGAAGACCTTGGGCGGCAGCCACCGTCCACTGTGACATTTGATAGAGACACAGCAGATAGGGCCTAGGGATGTGGCTTGGTAGTAGAGCGTGTGCCTCGCAGATGCAAGGTATTGAGATTTATGTGTGGGGTACCACACATACAGAAAGCTTATGGACAGTGTTACGGGCATCTATGAATGGTGAATTTTGTCTTAGGGAAAGAAATTAAGACAGTATAGCATTTTCTAAAATGGTCCTGTCTCCTCGGCGCCTTGTAACAATGGCTACGGCAACAGTGTGGAGTCAGAGCGGGCAGCACGCGCCCACAGACACCTGCACTGAACCCTCACCTGGTCCTTTCTGTGTGAACAGTCTTTTGTGCGTACGCATATGGTGTATGTGAGTGTGTGTGCTTGCGTGTGTGTGCATGTTTAGCTGTGCGTGTGTATGCATGTTTAGCTGTGTGTGTGCATGTTTAACTGTGTGTGTGTGCATGTTTAACTGTGTGTGTATGTGTGTATGCATATTTAGCTGTGTGTGTGTATGTTTAACTGTGTGTGTGCATGTTTAACTGTGCATGTGTATGCATGTTTAGCTGTGTGTAGGCAAATGTATGTGCAGAAGCCAAAAGTGGGCCTTAGATTGTCCACTTTATTCACTGAGGTGAGGTCTCTCATTGAAGCTGGAACTCACTGATTCTTGTTAGTCTAGATATCCAGTTTGCCCCAGGAGTCCCCTGTCTCTGCCTTCAGAGTGCCAGGATTACAGCAGTTCGCCATACCTGCCCTGCTTTTATGTGGTGGGTGATGAGGGCCTGAACTACTCCTCAGATTTCACAGCACGGGTTTATTTTATCCCCTGAGCCAACCCCCCCCCCCCAGCCCCGGCCTCTTACACGAACATTTAAAACTCAGTTCAGCTGTGTCTTCAAGAGTCAGGTGGGTATGAAGGGCTCACTGTGAGCACTCTTAATCCATTCCTGCGAGGAGGGTGAGGTTCTGTTCCTCCCGCACTGCCAGCTCTCCGTAGATGCCCGGTCGCACAGTGGCTTGGTACGTTTTGTGATGGCCTCTTTCTCCAGCATCCTGTCCAGGGAGAAGCTGCCCTTCTTCACAATTACACCTTTCAACCAAGGACACACCAGGAACTTTAGTTACCCTAGGGCTCGGGGGAGGGGCAGGCTGCAGAGCAGACAGGAGGGGGTGAGATCAGAGACAGGGAGTGGTGGGGGGGGGGGGGAGGGAGACCAGAGACGAGACAGGGCGGGAGGAGAAACAGCCCACCAGGCTTTATTTGGAAATCGCTCTTCTGGACTCAAATGGAAAATGGAGCCAAACACCGTGATTAAAAAAATGCAATGCATGCTAAGAAAGTCTACCGTAATTTACGCCAGGCATTAAAGTGTTTTGCGTGAGAATATAGTATGCTGTAGACAGCCCAAGAATTACGTCTTTCATTAAAAGGTTTGCACCTCCGTGTGTGTGATAGAGCTCTGGCGTTTTTTTTTTTTTTTTTTTTTTCCTGTCTTGGTGACGGTTTTTTATTTTAAACACTGCCTTTGCTTTCCAGACTTGGGAATGTAAATGCATGAGATCACACAGCCTCTGGGTTTTAGCTTCTTGTCACCTCTTTCTAAGCACGGCCCTGTCTTACCTGCTTGTGTCCAGGTGAAAGGTGAACAGTTATAGTGCCATTACCCCTCACCCCACGTACCCTGTGCTCAGCTATAAAGTAAACTGTCAAATCTTTCTTCATTACTCAGAGTTAGCGCTGGCGAGTTCAAAGCCCACGTGAGGGTACGCATCAAGGATGATATACATTAAGGTTGGGGATTAAAGGGAAATCAGTTACATGAAAGAAAGGTGTTTTTGCTACAAATCTTACGTGCGCGTGTCAAGAAGTATATTCATTGCCTACTTTAAAAAGAAACCAGAACAACTCCCAGAGACATATACCTGCATCTGGCCAGTCTTTCCACGAGGACGTTTTCTGTTTGAAGTTGGACAAAGGTTAGGAGGAAAACATCTCTTGCTCCTTGGCTGGCATGCACATGTAACATTTTTTTTTTTTAAATCAAAGTGTAATTTTGATTTTAGGCATTAGTAAAAATCAGAAGGAAAGGTGGACGCATCCTAATCATTCTTAGACAGAGCAAGAACACTGGACTCAGAAGGAGGGCTGACAGATGTGGGTGAGCTACCAGATGTGATCAGCTGTGCTTTCAAAGTCCCCGCCGACCCAGGGATCCCATCATTTTAGCGATTGTTGCCCAATTATCCTCAAGACTTGGCTGATGTGTTTGGAGCAGCGGTCCTCTGTTTGGACACAGACTTGGGTACTGCTCAATACAACTCAGGGGGTCTGCAATAAATTATGTGACTTTTAGCAATTATTCTGTTTAATTCTTAAATCAGGCCAGAAGTTCAGAACTGCAGGGTTCTGCTGTCCATCATCCTTATTGCTGTGACTTGCTGTATAATTTGGGCTATGCTTTTTAAAGCTAGACAGCTGACTTTCCAAATCTGGCATGATACTGCATATAAAACCACTGTGATTATATATTATAATTATATATTATAGTCTACACAATGTCCGGGGTCCCATATATAAAATGGCAAAGCAAACAATAGCTGTATTATTGCTAAGCAGTTTGCCACATATAAAAGGAAGGTCACCCACAGATTAAATGTGTCGATATTCATTTGCAAAAGGCCTGTGTTCTGCAACAGGTCCGGCTTTGGAGATCATGTGCCTTCTGGTCTCTGTGATATTCCTAATGCCCCCCCCCCTTGCTCCCAGCTCCATGTCAGGCGTATGGGATGGGCTTGATAAATGTGGCTCCCACTGAACTCAGGCACATTCACCTCTCTTTCATGCCTTGTCTAAAGTGCCCTGAGCCTGCTCCTTCCCAAACATTATAGTGGGAAGGTCAGAGGGGCCAGGTCTTCCCATGTGTTTCTGGCCTCCTCTCCCTCTGATCAGGGTTCGATAAGGCAGAGTGTTATCTGAGGCCTTCGAAGCAGACGCACACAACTCATTGCTGCCTTTAACTGCAAGGCAAACATTACTAAAGGACACTGGAGGTCTGGCCAGGGTTGTCTGATCTGTAAGCTCTGAACCAGAGCACTCTTCTTCTGGAGCTCGCTGAATATTTATGCGGGTAAAGGAAACGGTGAAAAAAATACTTCTGCCTCCGAGTTTTGCACCCAGCTCGGTCATTTCATCTTCCCCATCTGGCTTTGCTGTTGTAGAACAAAACATCAAAGTGACTCGGCAAGGCTCATCCCACAAGAATGCTTTCATTGTCTGTGTCCGCTCTGCTCCGTCCTGTCCATAAAAGAGGATGTTTTATTGTGGTTACTGTCACTTGTCTCAAGGCAAGAACTACCCTAGCAACTGTTGCTAGCCATGAACAAACCTAACGGTTTTATAAATGAGGAGAAAAGAAAGATGTATTAAGCCCTTTCCTTTGGGCTGGTAGTTCTGTCCGAGACGATCATCTTTCTAGGTATCCAGAAGAAGCTGAAGGTCAGAAGGATCCATCAGTGTGCTCTTGATCACACAGAAGTTAGAGAAGCTAGTGACAGAGGGAGGATTTGCACCCTGGTCGGCTTGCTCTTCCAAATGGTTAGACTTTCTAGCTCATCAGAGATACAGAGTCCCTGAATCTCAGTTCTGCTTATTCCTGGACAGAGTTCAATGACTCAATGTTTTCTCTCTTTTATAAGAACACACAAGCACCTGGACTTGACATCATCCTCTCTGGTCATTCCCCTGGGAAATGGCAGGAAGATGCAAGAACAGCCATCACAGGCGGCGTGAGCATTCTTGAAGAGCCCAGATGTTACCATTAGCATTTCCAACCTCAGCTGCACCGTGGGGGCCTTGGGGATGACGATTCTGCCAAGGCAACCAAGGAAGCATTATGGTGCTGATGGGTATTTTGTTGCAACAGCAGCAGCAAAATTGTAGTTTCCAAATCAATGATTCCTATTCTCATCAATGAATTATTTTTAACCACTCAAAAGCATTTAAAATTACAAATCAAAACAGTGAGCTAACTAGAGGGAGAGAGAGAGAGAGAACAACTCTCATGGTTAAGTAACATTGTAACTAATAGTGTTAAACAGAAATCCCAGTACCAGGTATAGGATGCTTCCTCATGTCAAGGAAGTCATAGAGGCTCCCAAAACAATACAGGCTCTTACCATTCCACTTGGCTGCCCACCAGTGATATCCAATAAAGCCCTGTTGCTGAAGACACCATCCACCTTGGGGAAAAGATAGAGAGAATTCAAACTGGAACTGAGGTGAAGCTTCCTCCCTGGGAGCCAACTTTCAGAGTACCAGGGTTGTCGTGCAGGCTGCTGGGAGACAAGGCACCAGTGTCCCCACCTAGCTATTAAAAACTATAATATGTATCTATCAGACAAAATGTACCCACTGGTCCAATAATGGCTTGATTGTTATAGGGACAATCGAATTCTCTCTGATTAATTTTTGAGGCCAACTCCACTAGAAGGGACTCATGTCTGATACTGTAAATATGATTAAAAACCCACGGCTGAGGAGTTCTTATGATCTAGAGCACTTACTCCTGATGTTTATCCAAGTCAGCACGCACCAAGTTGCCTTCTAAATACTTACATCCATAGACAAAGGTTTCTCAGTCTTAATCAGAGAAACTTCTCTTGGCAAAGAGCGGCAGCGAGCACAGAGAACCAGTGGCGGTTGGATGCCCAGCTCTAAACATGGCATTTATACTCTCTCTTCTAAGACCCAGGGAACAAGGTGAAAGAAGGTCAGAAGAACGCAAGGTTCAGAGGACAGGGAGAATGGCTGTCCCCTGGCCATGGCAGAGCCGGTGCAACCATGATCTCCTGGCAGCAGTTACCTGTAGCAGGCCTGCACAAGACTGGCCTTGGCAACGATCAGTAATAAAACCCATGTGGCCCTATCCTTCCCTGATGAGCGATTGGCAACTGAGACTTGGGGGGAAGGGCAGTCCTTCTCTTTAGTTGTGTATTGTGGACGAGCCCACTATGCTCCAATGGATACTTCCAAACCCAGATAGATATTGCTATCTAAATAGGACACACCACCCAAACAATCAAACAAAATCATGAATATGGAACCGGCTGTATTGTCTCCTTTTGGACTGTATTATCTTGTCCTTGTCTTCTGTTTGTGCTTCAAGTCCCTGTTCATTGGCTGTTATGTTGCAAACCCCCGTGGATGACCATGCCACGTGCTCTGTTGGCACTGCCAGGTGCACCTGTCTGTCATATGTGTGTCTACAGACATCACCTGTGCACATCACCGCGTTTGTCACGTGGTTCCATCTCACTTAACCTGTATAAGCATTGATCTCTGGTCAGAATGTGAGTTTCTGGAGGGCAAGGGTGCTCTTACTGTGTTCTGTCTTCTCCATTTATAGCCTAGACTTGGCACATGGATAAAGAGGCAGTTGTAGAAAGGAAAGAATGATTGTCTTTTTCTTTGTCTCCCCCCCCCCACCTGCTTTAGAGGATCATTTTCATGAGCCATGGGATTATGTGTGTTTCAGAAACTGGGGAAATAAGTGTGAAGAATGGGAATTAGAATACTTTTCTAAAGTGATTTAAAAAATAAAAAAATTCAGAGTTTTGATTACTCACTAATGATAGTGGGGGACTTGATTCAGATTACAGGGCTTTGCCCAATGGGCCACACGGGAACCTAAACAAGGGGTGGATTTAGGGTGCTCTTCATAGTCTTCACTACGGATTATGTGGGCATTTCAACCAGACCCCTGAAATACCCTGACAGGCGGATGACAGACACACGTGATAAGGTGTAAGGACATCAAAAGATTCCTATTTTTCATTCATTTTGACAAGAGTAGGACAGTCCTAACTATACATGATGATACATATTGCTTACTAGTAAATGTCCTATAATGTACTTTGTCAACCTTTTACACCACATAACTCCAGGACATCCTCAGTAAGCCTTCGTTATACACCTACAGGCTGTTGGCTGTCCGGGGTAGGTGAGTAAATTTGTGAATTAGCAAATGGGCACTAACAACCTTCTGCTGTAGCAGTAATGTATCCTTATGACGAGAGAAGGAGATAGAGAGGTCTTTTAAATGCTTTTTATTTACTTAGAGTATAATAATTTAGAAGTTAATAAGTTGAACAAAGGCCACATTCAAATCTGTCTCATAACGACTGAATAATTGATTATAACCCAGTTTCATTTCCAAGGTCAGAGTAGATAAAATGGGCTCGCCAGACGAGCCAGCAGAAGTAGACAGTTGCTCCGTTTTATTTGTGTTTATAATTCGCAGTACTCGATGCTGGCATTGACGTGAGTTTTTCCTCATGACAAATCATGCACCATTATCAACAGGAATCCAAAGGATGCTGCTAAGGTCTGAAACTGCACAAACCATTTCACTGCAGAGAAAAGGCCCCGGAGGTGAGAGGCATATTGAATCTTTTCAAAGGAAAATGATGTGTTTGTGATATGTCGTTTGATGAAGTTATTGTCGTGGAAAATTAAACTTCGTTTTGAAAGAGACGAATAAGAACAATCTCCAAAAATTTTCACCTTGTGATGAAATTTTACCTTTTTTCCCCGAATAACCCTTTCCCTAAGCTGCTAATTATACATATCAGCTTACACATGTGTTCACACACAGAGCTGTAAACACGTGTTCTCTACACTATATTCTTTGTATTTGTGTTCAGATTCATGTCAAGGGAACTGCTTTACATACTATTTTCGGACACGATCATCATCTTATTTGGTATTCCTTAAAGTGTGGTTGGTGAATTTTTCTCCATTGGAATTCTCAGGATGGTTGTTGGGATAAAGTTTCCCATTTTGAGAAGAGGGGTATGTCTTCTCGGTCAGGCTGGTCTTGAACTGCCTCTGTAGCGAAGTATGACTTCTGAACTTCTGATCCTTCTGCTTACATCTAGGTTTATAGGCCTGGTATATATCTTGCTGGGAGTCAAATCCAGGGCTTTGTGCATGCTAGCCAAGGATTGTAGCAACTGGGCTGCGTCCCCAGCCCAAGCTTCCAAGATTCTAATGGAGAACTGGTAAATTAGAATCTCAGAGGTTAGCCTTATGATGAGCCAAGTTAGGGAAATGCTTTGTCTGGCTAATTGTTAGAAATAGAAATTAGGGGGCCGCACTTCAGACTTAATGGATCAGAAACTCCAGGGATGGAGCCCATCGATCTGCGTCTGTAACAAGTCCTCCACCTGATTCTTATGCACTGTGTGAATCTGAGCGTCACTGGAGTGGCACACGGTAGATGGCTTAGATCGTCCCTTCACGATTTCAGGCATCATTCTCGTTGGTTCCAGGAACTCTGTCAGCGGCCATCTCTCAAGTGAGCGTCCTGTCATTGTCCCCAGCAGGATGGAGTCACCTTGTGTACGCTCAAGCCTTCTCTCCAGAGCATTCTGAGTGCATAACTCCTCCTCTATGGCTATCAAGAGATGACATTCAAAGGCTTTCCCCCCATTTCCAAGTGGGGTGACTCTGACAGGCCACTATAGTCAAGTTCTCCATGAAATCCAACACAGCGTTTGCCATGACTATATCCAAATGAGACTCCTCCCTCTCCTTCATAGCCATTGCTTTAAAGACAGTCTTGATACACTTTCTCATGGGTGACCATATAATTTAGCATCCAGTGTGGGACTTCATGAGGGACTAAGGGGATAGTATTAAACCTATACCAAACAGGAGACTCTCCTAGTTGGCCATGTGGGATACAAACTCATTCTGGACACTCAGGCTTTGGTTTTATTGATTTTTTTTTAATTTTAGTACTCATATCTTTTGGATAAGGACAAGATTATGTTTATAAAAAATGTGCCTGGAGTAACAATATGCTTGTGTATCTTTGCCATGGTGACAGAAACATGGATCTGTCATGGATTGTGGCAACTCTTATAAAAGAAAACATTTAATTGGGGTGGCTTATAGTTTCAGAGGTTTAGTCCATTGTCATCATGGTGGGACATGGTGGCATGCAGGCAAACATGGTGCTGGAGAAGGAGCTGAGAGTCCTACATCTTGATCTGCTGGCAGCAGAAGGAGTCTATGTCATACTGGGCATAGCTTGATCATAGGAGACCACAAAGCACCAAACAGGGACACATTTCCTCCAACAGGCCACACCCACTCGAACGAGGCCACGCCTCCTCATAGTGCCACTCCTAATGAGCTTATGGTGATGACCAGTTACATTCAAACCACCACAACCAGTTAAGTATAGAGCAGGAATTCTCATTCCACACAGCACTGTTTCTCTTTGTCATGTCGATGTGTGACATGTCTGTTCCATGTTCTCTGCATATACAGACACACATAGTATTATTTGAAGGGAGAGACAGGAGAGCAATTCCCTCAAGTAATGCAAATCCCCCTGACAGGAAGAAGATTAGCCACTATTTCTTGGTTGGTCATTAGTCTGTAGTCAGCTGAGTACAATGAGAATCAGAATTTATTGTCTAGGGGAAGTCTCAATTTTCTATCAGTATAGAAATTCAGTAGTGTCGGGCTAGAGAGAGAGCCTAGACCATGGTCTAGAGACATAGCCCAGTCTAAAGGCCAGAGAAATAGCATAGTCCATGGGCCAGAGAGGTATCCCAGTCCATAAAGCATTTGTAGAGCAGAGGAGAGGACTTCAGTTTTATCCCAAACACCCAAACAATAAACTGGCTGGGCACAGTGATGTACAGTCATAATCCCAGAACTGGGAAGCCGAGGCAGGAGGATCCCTGGGGCTTCTGGCCAGGCAGCGAGTGCCAGAAACACTAAGGGACCAAATCTTAAAAACACAGGTAGACTGTGCCCAAAGACTGGTACTGAAGTTGAACTCTGACCTCTGCATACATACATACATGTTGTGCTGGATAGTGTTATATCAACTTGACACAAGGTAAAGCCATCTGCGAGGAGGGAGCCTCAATTAAGAAAACGCCTCCATGAGATTGGGTTGTAAGCAAGCCCGGAGGGCAATTTCTTAAATAGTGATTGATGGGGGAGTGCCCAGCCCATTGTAGGTGGGGCCACCCCTGGACTTGTGGTCCTGGGTTCTATAACAAAGCAGGCTGAGCAAGCCATGGAAAACAAGCCAGTAAGCAGCCCCTCTCCATGGCCTGTATATCTGCTCCAGCCTCTTTGGTTCCTGCTCTGGTTGAGTTCTTGCCCTGACTTCTCTCAGCGATGGACTGTTACCTGGAAGTATAAGCAGAACAACACCCCCTCCTCCCAGATGCTTTTGGCCATGGTGTTTCATCACAGCAACGATAACCCAACTAATACACGCATGAACACACGTGTACATATGCCTGAACACCATGCACCTGCATACAGCCCCACAAAGAGTAGTTTAACATACAAGAGCTTTACTTTCTGATCATGGAATAGTACAAGACAGGTGTGTGGTGGATGGACGGCCTTCTTTTTGTGGGATCCGAGAGACCCGTACTTCTTCCGTGCACACTGCAGTGTCGTTAAAGATCCCATGTATTCAGGAACAAAGGGGGAAGAAGGCTCCATAACATCCTAGCTAAGATGTGCATACTGCAATGCTTCTAGAGCGCTGCTAGGAACTAGCGTGTGGCCTCCCTCAGACACGGGCGGGACTGGTAAATGCGGCCTTTGGGTATTTTTCAGGCAGGACGGGAGGGGGACTAATCTCAGAAGGTCCGAGGAAGAGACAGGTGGTAGGGATCTGAGGCCTTTGCATTCAGCAGCAACCATCCAACAGCTTAGTCATTTCCGTCGGTGCCCTCCCCTGCCCACTCCCTTTGAGGTGTGCATTATAAATCCTGCCAAATTGGACGATATCATAAAAGCCACAAGATGTATCGCGTGCCATAGCCTTCACTTATCTTATCTCATTAAGTGGAGAAATCGGAATATTTCTTTTCTTTCACAGGAAAACAGTATCAGGTAATGTCACGTAATATTTCAAAAATAGAATTTGTCTTTGTCGACCAGGCCGTGAATAACAAGGAAACACTGGATGTTCTTTTTACGAAATGATTTGAAATTAATTTCAATCCATTCTGATAGCTCTGTAAAAGGAGAAATATAGGCTTCGGTAAGTTTCTTAATGTAGATTGCTACAGTAATTTAAAGACAACAAATAATAATGAAGCGACGATTTTTATTGCGCTGCCAGTGTGCTCAGCGACAAATAGTGTATTTTTAAAAACTAAACTTGTCACCACAATAAATGCCAACGGTTAAGCTCTAGGTAGGGCCTTCAGATTGGAAAGATTCATAAGATCACACTCACATAGTTTAGAAAGTTATTTACTGCAGCAGAGATAAAGACATTAAACATATAATTATTCACGGCCTTCCTTGAGCCTTCTTCCCCTCCCGCCTCCCACAGTCCCCTTCTGGATCAGGAGTAATGGGTAGGGAGGGATGCTGGGAAGAGAGCAGACTTGGAGACACAAAAAGGCTGACTTCATCTCCTTGTGTGTGAATACCAAGCTGACAGGATAAAATCAGCTGAACGGAGAGGAGGAAGAACATTCTAGAGGGGCCTAGATGGGAAAGAAAGGACTGAGAGCTTTGAAGGTGAATGGCAAGGCCACTACATGGGTAGGGTAGTAAGGGCAGAGTTCTGGTAATGGGGGATATGGAGAAATGTATCCGCGTATGAAGAACCACTGCTGGGAGGACCTCAGCTCAACTCCCTGCACTGCTGTTCAGAGCAGGCCTAGCAGTTACAACAGCCAGTGACTGCATCAGCCCATTGCCCATGTACCAAACAGCAAGCTAGATTAGGTACCTATGTCAACTCTTTAGCCCTCATGAGTCTAAGAGAGATATCATAATCAGTTCCCTCTTGTAAATGAAAAAGCCTGAGGCATAGAAGGACTACCTAACTTTGCAAGAATTTCCCAGCTCACACCTGATACAGCTAAGAGTCGAGCCAAGACAGACTGGCTCACTACGCTTTACCACCTCCCTGGGTGTAGAACTTAGGCAAACCACAAAGGAAAGATGATAAAAATGCTCCAAATATTTCAGCCGGAAGCACATCAGTCTTATAGAATTAGGGCTAGACTATACATTGTGAAAACTTCACCCAAACCCTTTCCGAGAAGAAGGCAGACAGGTGGCTGGACTTGGTAAAGATTTCCTTAGAGTCTACTCTACCTCTGCTTTTCCTTTTAATAGTAGGAGTGTGGTTATAGTTACAAATGGTAATTTTTTGTGATTTTTTTAAAGCTTGTCTTATACTACTGAGATTATTATTTCATTTTCTAATGCAACTAACATATGATTTTCATAAAACCAGAAATAACTTTAGCCCATCGATGCCGCTCCTGGGCAGGAGGTCTACGGGAGCCTTCAGAATGTTTCTCTGGGCGTCTGTGGCGGTCTCGTGAGGAGCATGGCTACAGGGTCTGTCCAGACTCAGCCTGGATGTCACCCTGGGCTCTCGCCACAGCAGCCTCTGGAGCATCGTTTATCTTAGGAGGGGACCCAGTGGAGGGCAGCTGCCTGGCTCAGGACCTGTGGTTCCAACATGGAGCGAGTCCAAGAGTGTTGTACAGTCCATTAAGCAATCCCTCTTAGCTGAAGGGGTTCATCTATCAACTGTGATTTTCAGCCAGCAATCTGCTTATTTAGAGGGTTAATTACATTTTCAGGTCACCTGGGCGCTTCTCTTAGATATTTAATAAAATGAGTCTTTATTTTATTTATCACATGGCGTATTTGGTAAGGGCTGCCCAATCCTGGAGTGGGGGTGGGTCGGGGTTGGCGTGGCAATTATTTACAAAAAGACCGACGTGGAAGCTCCCTACCTCCCCAATGTCCAGAGTTATCTGCGGATGACCCGGATCTCAGACACCATGACCACAGCAGATTGATCTGGCACTGCAGGTAGCAGCTGATGTTCCTGAAACACAAAGTCGGGTATTGATTTCCCAGTGTTTTTATGACCCATTTAACAACAGGCATTTGGGATTGGTTATCTCTTAGGCTGCAGAGACGGCTCCTGCCAGCATCCTTCTGAACTCCTCTTAATTATCTTCTCTGAGAGATGGGTGAGAACGGATGTTCGACCCCGGCCTTGAACACACACATTTCCCATGTGAAAGAGGCTTACACGACTCGCACACCTAACACCAAGTCAGCTCCGACACAGGGTGTTTAGACATTTTCCATGGTGACTACCCCATGGGTGAGGGGGAGGTCCATTGGATCTGTCTGCTAACAAATTCTCACTAATTGACATCAAGCCAGTTAATTTCTACGTAATAAGTGTTGAGTGATTCAAGGACCAGCGCAACCAGCCAGAGCTGGGGCCATTCAAAGACCCGTTTGGGTCCCAGAACGGAACATTTAATGTTTTGCCAAATTTTCAAAACCGCCGGGAGTGAAGAACAGCGGTCTTAAACTTCAGCTCTTCGGGTTACTAATTATGTAGCCGGGGGTAAAAAGAGAACTTTACAAATCATTGCTTCCATTAGGAAGGCGTTAGGACCCACGCCACGCTGGGTGCCCCTCCTCTTAGCGGGCCGCTTGTTCCCAGGGGAGGCGAGCTCCAAGCCCCAGCTTCTGTTCTGTTTCCCCAGCACTTGGAAGAGAAACAAAACAGGCCTAATGAAAAACACACACGGGAAATGCTGTATTATTCCATCATCCTCACCTACTGCGCTCTGGCACCCCTCGGTGATTAGGGAGGACTTTCCCCTCCGCGAGCAGCCAAGTCTGGGGTGGTATGAGGCCGCTACATTGCCATTTCCTGTCAATTTCCTCCTGCCCACGTCCCCCTCTCCCCCCACACGACTGTCCAGAGCTCTCTCCCCAGCATCAGCACCGGCCACACTCGCTGCCACTAAGTTGTGGCAGCTTTGAAAGTTGAGAGCAGAGAGCCCTGGAAACTGGGGGGCACCAGCCACAATCAACCTCTAACCTGGACCGCTGAGAAGCAGGTCAGCACCACCGAGTGGATCCTGACCTCTGAGTGGGCTGAGCAGCAAAGCTCGCTGGGAAAACAGCGGGCTGCCTTGTTTGTTTTGGAGGGAAAGGGTGCTGAAGTCAGTCAGAATATTAATTCCCACTGTAATCTTCCCACGTGCGTTTTCTCTCGACTTTTCACCAGAAAGGGGACTCAGGATAGCAGACATTCCCCAAATCTCATTGGACTATTAGCCCCTTGAATAACTTCTTTCATTAAAAAAAAAAAAAGCTCTCCTGATTTCCCCCGTTCCTTACACCATACATAGTGAAACCTGCATATAATAGACAATGCATTTATTCACACAGCAGTCAGTCGCCACTAAATAACCCAGGCATTGGTCAAGCAGGTACGACTACCCAGGAAATTAGAACACTTGGCCCAAACCTAACAGGGCAAACCTGTCTGTAGAAAGGCAACTCTGGCTGCTTTGCTTCTGCTGTTATGGCGTGAGAACCTGGAAACAGTGCTGTGCCTGCCACACAGATGCTAAATAAACAATGGGTAGATGTGCAGTGAGCATCTGATTGACTGGACCTGGATACCACAGGACAGGTGGCTTAGCTGCCATCCTGGTTTGGTGGCCTTCACGGCAGACATTCTTTCTCTGCATCACTGGCACTGAACACGGGTCTCTGGAGTGTTCTTGAGATTCCTACCAGACCGGTTGTCTTCTAGTATCTGCGGAGGAAGTGTTGTTGGGATGGATAGTAGAGGATTTTTATTTAGATGCTTGGTTGATAGATGGTGTCTGCTCAGCCAGTGTTCGCTGGACAGACCAGTGAACGCATGTAATAGCAGGATAGGGACCGAGGAAGTGTATGTGGGAGCCGCACTGTGAAAAGGGATCTCTGCCCATCTGCCTGTGTGCATCCTTAATCCTGCCTCCGTTTCCTCAACAGTGGAGATGCAGACATGGTGTTATGGAACTCCTCTAATGGGAAAATAATTGGGGTGGGAAAAAAACCCTCAAAAGGATTTTGACGTGAATGCAGCAGCCCCAGTGGATGACGTAAAAGCTGCATTTCTGTGTCTGATGAAAATGTTTAAGAATCTAATCATCATTGATTACTACAAAACCATGGCTAACTTGAAAATGATAGATGTATGGCTATGATGAGGATGAAGAACAACTGTTAATATGAATTAACTTTTAAAAAGTGGAAATTCTGATAAAAACAGACCTTACTCGCGGGTGTGTGGTAAAGCACTCAACAGTGAGGATAGCTCAGAGGGACAAAGAGTGGCTAACCAACTTGTGGGAAGTATGTACCTAGGTGACAGATCATTGCTACCAAGGAACAAAGGTAAGAGGTAACCCTTATCTGGACTACTACAGGGGTTTCTGATCTCCACTACACATTCGAAACATGGAGAAACCTTTGAAAAAGTAGACTAATTCATGGGCCACAGCCCAAAGCAACCAAATTAGAAGTCCCAGCGCTGAGACACACGCATAAACATAAACAATTTTAAAGACCTGGTGTGATTACGATGTGCAGTCAAGTCTGAGTCATTGTGATGTTTCTCAAATTTTCGCATCAGAATTACCCAGAGGCCTGTGAAACTCCAACTCCCTGGGCCCAGCCTACAGTTGATGATTCACTGGGCTTTGGGATGGGGCCCAAACTGCATTCCTAACGAGGTTTCTGCCTGCAGCAGCGGCAATTTTAGGAACACCATTCTGGAGTAGAGGCTTAAAGATTTGGATGCTGTGAATCTGGAAGTAATTCCAGTAAAAGACCAAAGGGTTTATATTCTTGACTTCACGGTGGGAGCAGAGCCATAACTGCTTTGGTTTATTCCCCCATTCCTGGCTTGCTCTTTAGTTTCAAGGACACTGTGAAGCTACTGAGAGTGAGGTACCAAGTAGAGCAGGTGACACCGCACCAGTGACATTGTTTCCTAAGCCTCTGAAGAAGACCACGAAAAGCTGCAGTCTCAGTAGCGTTCCAACATAGACTAAAGCGGTCGAGTTTTAGAAGATTTCGAAAATAGAAGGGAGGTTTTCAATTAAGCCAGAAAGCTTAAAAGTTCCAATTAAGTATAAAATCATGGAGCTGTGGCTGCTTTGTAGATGGAGGTCTGAACCCCACGTGTGAGACGTCAAAGACAAAATACTTTGGTGGTCATGTGTTAAAAACATGGTTTTAGAATATATACTTAAATACTTCTCATCAATTAAATCAAAATGTTTAGAAATAAAGAAAACTCGGTAGCTTGCCAGTTAGCCGGATATCGATCTGAAATATTTGGAGTAAAGAAATGATTTTTTTATTTGAGAAGTTTTGAAGGTGACAGGGCTGGAGAGTTGGCTCAGTGGTTAAGAGCCATTGCTGGTCTTCCAAGAGGATCTAGGTTCCTTGTCCAAGACCCACATGGTAGCTCACAACCATCTGTAATTCCAGTTCCAGGCAATCTGAAATTTTCTGCTGGCCTCCACAGGTCAGACACACACATGGTACACATACGTCCATGCAGGCGGAACACTTAAACGCACATAAAATAATAAAACAAATAAGTCTAATTAAAAGAACAGTTTTGAAGAGGAATAAAAAATGTGTATGCATCTAATTTGTGGTTTTTGGAAGTGAATTCATAAAATGCAACACACCCTGCATTCAGTGTTTGTCCGCATGGAGGTCTCACTGCATGGCCCTGGCTAGCCTGAAACTTGCTAGAGAGACCAGCCAGGCTGATCTCAAACTCGAGGCCAGCCTCTTGCCTCTGCCTGCCAAGTGGCATGGCACATGTGAAACACCCCGTCAACATCTTCATCCTTGTAAAGCCGTAAGACTTCATTTTAGTAAACTGATTCTGTTTGCTTCTCATGATCAGATTGACCTAATAATTGCCAAGTAGTGTCTGCGGCGGGTGGGACCTGACACACACGGAAAGGAACCGGGCCACCTGGATGAGACAGAACGGGTAAATGGCCCTCTTTATCCCTAGACATCACGAGGTCAAAACAGCCTGTTGGTGTCAGATTCTTGCACGAACACACATTTCTTTCAAAAGACTTCTCCCCGGCCCCCGTAAAACTGTGGGAGATTTTTTTTTTCTCTTCCTTTTCTGGTATTTGAAGTAAGATAAAATCCAGCTGATTCCTTTCCTCGACTCTGCCCCTCCCCCTCCAAATGCTTAATAACCACAACCCTAAGATTTATGGTGAGTGAAAAAGAAAAATAAGTAAATTATCTGACCGAGGAGCCATTCTTCCTCTCTCTCTGGCCATACAGACTATTTTAAATGCGGCTGGCAGCAGTCTAATTAAAATAATTTCTGTCAGAAGTCCGTGAAATATGTGGCCTCAGCCCAGCTCAATGTTCTCGGGCAGGAATGACAAATCTCTGCTTAATTGGTACTTAATATGATGGTGCAGGGTTAGCAGTTCTCCGGGATAAAAGGAGATAAGAACAGAAAGTCCTTGCTTGGGGCAGGAAGCCCTGGAAGATGAACAGACCAAATGGTGCTTACCCCCGAGCTGTTCCTATCGAGGGCTGGTCTTTTGGCCATCATTTATGAAATAACAGACAATTAATGCACATTTTATGGCTAGCTCGAGTCCTAATTAAATACAACTATGTACCAAGAATTCTAAGGGCCCGATTTCCAGAGACCAAAATAAATACTGGCAGAATTCTGGCGGCCCGGGCAGTCGTAGCTCATCTCGTTATCCTATCTTAGGGATAAGCACCTTGGGGAAGGCACAGGCTGCTTCTGAGGTATAAGTCATTAGCTGAAAACTCATGGTGCATTTTATAATATTTGGGAATTGCAGGAAGGGGGAAGATGGATGGTCGTCCGCTTTCCGTTGGAAGTCACCCTGCCACTCTTCCTGAGTATGGGGCTTCCTTCCTCTTGGGCTCCATAGCACAGGTCTTGTGTTTTACTCATTCTGTAAAACGTACCGTCTTTTGCTTTCTGTCCCCACT